AAAAAGGAGGGACAGATAAAACAAGCAACAAAGAACAAAGGCAACAAATGTAAGACAGTTGTAATACTGTAGACATTTATTCAACCATATTAATAATCACTTTACACGATAATGGACTAAATACACCAATTAAAAGAGACCTTGACAAGGTAGATTTTTTAAAAAGATGCAATTATATATTACCTACAAGAAATCCACTTAAAATACAAAGACATAGAAAGATTAAAATTAAAGGGATGGAGAAAGATATATTATGGTGCACTAATAAAAAATCTGGAGTACCTATATTAATTTTAGACAAAACAGACTTCAGAACAAGGAAAATTATCAGAGATAAGGAGAGGCATTACCAGAATGATGTCAGCAAGACAGCAGAATAAAAGGTCCTCTGCTCTCCTCCCCCCACCACACATAAACAGATTTAGCAACTACCATGGACAAGAACAGCACTGTGAGATTTCTGGAGCTCAGAGGTAAGGTTCCAGCACCCTGGTGGAGCACAGAAACTGAGGGAAAAAGAAGCAGTTTCACTCTGCCCACGCTGCCTCTCCTCCAAGTCAACACAGAACAGCATCAAGAAGGATCCCTTCAGCCCGCAATTTCTCCAGTGGCAGAAAGGGAGAAAGAGGTAGACATCCAACTTCCCCAGGTTTCTGTCTTTCCCACTTCTATCTTGCCTCACATGGAATGCCAGGGGAACTGACACAGCTAGACCACTAGGCAAGAGCTGGGACCAAAGAGAAAGGGTAAAGGCTCTCAGGTGGTGGCACTGCTGGATCTCAGTGGTAGCTCCACCGTCCCCATCAGATAGCCCTGCCTAGCCACAAAGTCTCACTGGTAGATCCTCCTGGAAACAGAGGCCCACCAGCCAATCCTGTCAAACAACAGAGCCCCTTCTAGCAATCCTGTGGGATTGCAGAGGCTGGGCAGCCCTCCATGGCCAGAAAGCCCCACCAGCCAGCCCCACTAGATTACAGTCCCACTAGGCTGCAGACCACCAGCAATGGGCCCTGCCTGACCACAGACCCTGCAGTTCTCATAAAACGGTACACCCCATGAGCTGCAACAGTAAGCCACATCTGCCCATGGGCCCCACAAACTGGCCCACCCAGAATCCCAGGCTAGGCTGACTGGCAAATGGCTTTTCTTGCCAAAGCAGTCAGTAAAGAATCGAGATAACTTCTTCTTAAATGTGCAGATACCAAGGCAGTTACAGGGATCATGAAAGATCAACGAAACGTGACACCACTAATAAAGCTCCAGTAGCCAAGCCTAAAGAAATAGAGATTATGAACTGCCTGACAAAAAATCCAAAAATAATCATACAAAAGAAAGAAGCTTAGTGGACTACAGGAGAACCCAGATATACAACTAACCAAAAACAATACATCAACAAATGAGAAGTTCAGCGAAGAGAGAAGCCATGAAAAAACAAAAATCCTACAGTTGAAGAATACAATGACTGAATTGAAAAAAAAAAAGTCAATAGAAAGCTTCAACAGCAGACTCAATCAAGCTGAAGAAAGACTTAGTAAACTCAAATACAGGTCATTTGAAATTATCCAGTCAGAGAAGCAAAAAGCAAATGAAAAATAATGAAGAAATACTATGGGACATATAAGACACCATGAAAAGAAACGACATATTCATTAAGAGAGTCATGGAAATAGAAGAGATAGAGAAAGGGCTAGAAAGTTTATTTGAAGAAAACTGGCTGAAAATTTCCCAGCTCTGGGGATAGAAATGAACATCTAGATTCATAAAGCTTAAAAATGCCCAAATAGTTTCAACCAAAGAAGTCTACATAAAGACACATTAAAATTACATTGTCAGCTCTTTTTCGTGGCACCTCAGAGGAGGTAGGCTGTTTCTGGATGAAGCTGAACATCTCTTTCCCAGCTACTGGCTGCCAGAAACTCACTGAAGTGGACGATGAATGTAAACTTCGTACCTTTTATGAGAAGCGTATGGCCACAGAAGTTGCTGCTGATGCTCTGGAGGACTGCCTGGCCTCTGCAATCCCACAGGATTGCTGGAGGGGCTGCTGCTGCTGCTGCTAATGCTCTGAGTGAAGAATGGAAGGGTTATGTGGTCCGAATCGTGGTGGCAATGACAAGTAAGCCTTCCCCATGAAGCAGGGTGTCTTGACCCACGACCGTGTCCTCCTGCTGCTGAGTAAGGGGCATTCCTGCTACAGACCAAGGAAGACTGGAGAGAGAAAGCGCAAATCTGTTTGGGGTTGCACTGTGGATGTCAATCTCAGTGTTCTCAACTTGGTCATTGTAAAAAAAGGGGAGGATATTCCTGGACTCACTGATACTACTGTGCCTCATCGCCTGGGGCCCAAAAGAGCCAGCAGAATCCGCAAACTTTTCAATCTCTCTAAAGAAAATGATGTCCGCCAGTATGTTGTGAGAAAGCCCCTAAACAAAGAAGGTAAGAAACCCAGAACCAAAGTGCCTAAGATTCAGCATCTTGTTACTCCACATGTCCTCCAGCACAAACGTCAGCATATTGCTTTAAAGAAGTGGCACACTGAGAAAAATAAGGAAGAGGCTGCAGAATATGCTAAACTTTTGGCCAAGAGAATGAAGGAGGCCAAAGAAAAATGCCAGGAACAGATTGTCAAGAGACAGAGGCTGTCCTCTCTGAGAGCTTCTACCTCTAAGTCTGAGTCCAGTCAAAAATGAGATTTTCTAAGAGTGACAAATAAATAAGATCAGACATCAAAAAAAAAAAATTACATTGTCAAAAGTCAAAGACAAAGAGAATTTTCAAAGCTCCAAAAGAAAACTAAGTCATCATATACAAGGGAACCCACATAAGACTATCAGTGGATTTCTGATAAGAAATCCTGCAGGCTAGGAGACAATAGGATGATATATATTCAAAGTACTCAAGGAAAAAACTACAAACCAACAATACTCTACTTAGCAAATCTGTCCTTCAAAAATAAAGGAGAGGTAAAGACTTTCTCTGTTAAACAAAAGCTGAGTTCATCACCACTAGACTTTCCTTACAAGAGGTGATAAAGGAAATTCTTCACGTTGAGATGAATCAATGTTAAAGAGCAACACGAAAGGATAGGAAAATACAAATATCATTGGTAAAGGTAAATATACAGACAAACACAGAATATAATAATACTGTAACAGTGGTACATAATCACTTTTAAACAGTATAAAAGTGAACAAACACAAAATGATTAAGAGTAACTATAATTGCAAAATTTGTTAGTGGATACACAATACAGAAAGAAGTAAACACTGACATTAAAAACAAAGTGTGGAGCCCCACGCTGGGTGTAGGTTTTACTTAAAAATAAAATAAAAACAAAAAGAACAATAAAAAAAGTGTGGGGAAGGAATAAAAGTGTAGAACTGTTGGATACAATTAAGGTTAAGGTGTTATCAGCTTAAAATAGATGTCATAATTATAAGGTTCAATGCAGCTTCATGGTAACAACAAAGAAAAACTTATAATAGGCACACAAAAGAAAAACAAAGCATATCACTACGAAAAAAATCATCAAACCAAAAAAAAAGTAGACAGCAAAAGAAGAGAGGACAAGAGAACCATAAATCAGTCAGAAAAGAACAAAGTGGCAGTAGTAAAACCTGACTTATCAATGGGTTACTTTAAATGTAAATGGACTGAACTCACCAATCAAAAGACCTGGAATGACTGAATGGATTTAAAAAAAAAAAAAAAAAAGACCCAACTAAATCCTGTCTATGAGAGATTCACATATATTTAAGGACACACATGGGCTGAAAGTGAAGGGATAGAAAAATATATATCATACAAATGGTAACCAAAAGAAAGAAGAGGTGGCTATACTTCTATCAGATAAAATAGACTTTAAGTCAAAAACAGTCACAAAAAACAAAGAGGGTGATTATATAAACATAGAGGGATCAATTCAACCAGAGATATTGCAATTATATGTGCACCCAACATCAAGCCACCTAAATATATAAAGCAAATATCAACATATCTGAAGGAAGAAATAGGCAGCAATACAATAACAGTAGGAGACATCAATAGTCCACTTTTTTTTTTTAAGATTTTTAAAATTTATTTGTTTGAGAGAGACACACACAGAGAGAACAAGAGCGGAGGGTGGGGCAGTGGGAGAGGGAGAAGCAGACTCCCTGCTGAGCAGGGAGCCTGATGGGGGGCTTGATCCCAAGAACCTGGAATCATGACCTGAGCCAAAGGCAGATGCTTAACCAACTGAGTCACCCAGGTGCCCCTCTATCAGTAATTACTTTAAAAGGCCTACATAGGGGCACTTAATTGATCCAAATAAACTAATATACCTAGGAACACCTCCTCACCAAAAGTTTGGACAAAGAAGAATTCAGCCAAATAGTCTAATGCATAACTGGTAGAATAAGTAAAACCACAACTGTAAACATAAATTAATATTTACACATCAAACCATCACAGTTCCAGCTAGACATTAGCTCTTATAGTGGGAGTAATGTAAAAGACACCATTATCATAATACAAAACTGGATTCCATCCTGAAGAAATGAGAAAGAAACATATGGATTTTTATTTTATTTGCACATCTTTCATTTTCATTTTGTTAAATAATTAATATGCTGAATACAACTTTTATTAACATCTTATGGTGGGGGTTAGGGCCATGGCCAGTGAAAACATTTACTATACACTATAAATTAACTTTCAGCTGCACTGGGAAAAACAGACTCATAAAACAGTACCTTGTACATGAGGTGCCTGAGTGGCTCAGTCGTTAAGCGTCTGCCTTCGGCTCAGGTCATGATCCCAGGGTCCTGGGATCGAGCCCCACAGCGGGCTCTCCCTCCCCTCGGAGAGTCTGCTTCTCCCTCTCCTCCCCACTCGTGCTGTCTCTTGCTTTCTCTCTCTCAAATAAATAAACAAAATCTTCATTTTTAAATTGTTTTATTTTTTTCATGTTTTTTTAATTATGTTCAATTATAAAATCTTAAAAAAAGAAAACACAGTACCTTGTACAGATGTTGAATCCTGATACCAGCTGCCAAATCAACAGGCTCATCTTCAAAATAGTCACTTCTAGTTATATCGATAATTTGCTTATCTTCTTTCTTCTTAATGCTTAAAGCTTTACCAAACCAGTAGGATTTCTAAGAAAAGACCAAAACCATAGTCATCATGATATCAGTGAAAAATGAAATGCTCTTAACACCTTGGCTCATTTCACTTTGGTTTCGAGATGGGTTGAAGCACATAAATTGAAACAAAATTTGGAAGCAAACTGCCTAGAATGTGAACTTCAACACAATAAGCACAAAACCTGTTATTTAAAATCTCACTGTCCAAGAAGAAAGACAAAATAAAATCTACTTTAAAATGGCTCAGTGAAAAGCATTCTATCACTCTAAGTCAAGTGTCTTTATTCGGTCATGCAGTATACAGCTAGATCCCTGGAGATTCCTAACACATTTTCAATGAGTCTGAGTTCAAAATTCTTTTTCATAAAAATACTTTTAAAAATACATTATTTGTCTTTCTACTGCATTGATATTTTCATTGGTGGTGTAAAATCAATGTTGAATAAAATGCCTGGTGCTTTAACATAAATCAAATTAGTAGCATAAAACTGTAATAAACAGTCACCATCTTCTTCACCACCAGACACAGTAAAAAAATAAATGAGTACATAAATCTATTTCACTTAATTGTGTCTTTTATGAAAAAGTAAAAATAACTTAAGTCTCATTCCTTGAATATGATTTTTTAAAATAGTCTGTGTGATAAAATGGAAAATACGAATAAAGCATCTCTATAGCAAATGAAAATATAATGGAAGCTCTGAGAAAATTACTTGTGTCATTGTTTGAGTTGTGAACTAGCCACTTGTTTCATGGATTACCACTTTTTTTGGAAAGAATGACAGTCATAAAAATTATGTTTCTTTAGACCTGGACATCTAGCAGACATTTTCTTGAAACTTAATGAAGAGGTATTATTATTTCAAAGAAAAGAACTGACAACATTTGCTGCTAATGATAAAACTGGAACTTTCAAGTGAAAATCAGAATTTTGAAAAACTGATATCCACTACTGTGTGACAAATTTACAATTTTTAAAAACTATCATGATAACATCATGTTGATATTAATAAATGTGATGCTTTGATAATGTATGATGAAATGTGTCATCACTTGGAAGGTATGTAGCAGTGAACCAATATTTTTCAAATAACCAAAATATGATGTTAACCATTTATGCATGGTTAAAGATCTATTCAAATCACAGGATACACCAATGAATATTATTATGAAACAGAATAAGAAATGTTTGTTAATGTGTTTTCAGATTCCAAACTTCAACTGACTGCAGGAAAATTACCATTAGTTGAGTTTTGGTGAACTACAAAAGAATACCCAAATTTGTTTAAAAGGCTACTGAAATACTCCTCCATTTTTCAACTACGTATTTGCATGAGGCTGTATTTTCTCCATATATTTTAAGCAAAAACACATCATGCAAAAGATTAAATGCAGAGCCAGATATACACTCTCCAATGAGAATCTAGTCATCTTTTATTAAGTAAATATAAAAGATATTTGAAAGAAATATAAAACAGGCCACTCTTCTAATATTTTTAAATTTTGAAAAAAAGCTATTTATCACCAAAATGTTGACTTCAACATGCAATGGGTTATTAGTGATATATTTAAACGAGTTGATAAATATCTTTAAGATTTCTGTTTTAATATCCAAATATGGTTAATATTGATAGATAAAACCCATATTAACCACAGCTCTTTGGGGTGCTCAATAATTCTTAGGAGTATAAAGGATTTCTGAGACAAGAGTTTGGGAACCACTTGCTTTGAACCATAGAACAATAAAGAAGGGGACTGAAAAAAAGAGAGAGATGCTCTCCACTTTGCTATGGCTTTGATTCTAAGTAATTTGGGCTAATAATGGAAAAAAGCAGATGGTGATAAACCACAATTCATCTCCTCCTCACTAGGATCTAAGGACCCCACCACATACTCATTCAGACGGAGGTTTTTGTTTTTTTTTCTGTAGAAAAGCCATTTGATTCTATTATACATGGCACAACGTTAACTTGTAATGGCTTTAGTTCAGAAAGAATAAAAACTGTATTAGTATCAGAAGATAGGAGCACAACAGGGAAGGTGTTCAAGGTAATAATGTTCACTGTTTGACAAACTAAATACAAAAGAACTGGGGCTTCTCTCAGTAATAGAATCGTTAGAACTTACCTGCACAAAGAAATACCATGGCTTGGGCACACCATACTTCCCTGGAAAGACAGCATCTATATACCAGGTCATAAGGCCAAACAAGAAAGCATCAAATAAAAGCATTCCCATAATATGAGCAAAACTAAGGTCATCATCTGGGTTCACTGGTGACAGCATGTTATTCCACTGGACACCATACTCTGAAACATAGTAGCAGACAGTTAGTTGAGGTGCCCAACTGTGACTAGAACAAAGTCATCCAGCTGCTTCATCATTAAACAACAAGAATGCACTGGTATTCTCCGGAGACAGGTACTATTTGCTATTCGCTGATACTTTGAAATTCAGGCTGTCCAAGAGGATAATAAAGTAAGTAATGATACAACTTGCCTCTTCCTACAGCCAAACTCAACTAAAAGTTAGTACCAACTGAAACAAAAATAAACAGTCACAAAAAGTCCATAAAGTAAGCTTTAAAGCCATAAACAGACCTACTGGTTGGGATGGTGGCCCTATTCCTCTATTCTTTTTCATGTGAATCTCCACTGAAATAACCAGCAAGATATATAAATTTGTAAATACATTCATCAATATAAAAATAAGGTTTGGCTTCTAGTTTCTGGTCTAGCGTGTGAGGAGCTCAGAAGTCACCACTCCATCCTAACAAGAAGTAAAAAGGTAAACTGAAAAATCACCCATTCGTCTTAGATCTATCAGAGACGTGAGGTCACAGGGCAAACCACTGCCCCCACAATTGGAGAGACGGACAGGCAGGCACAGAGAATTTAATGAAACAGAAACCACGAGCAGAAACTTCCAAGGTAACCAGAACTGGAGTAGGAAAACCTGAACTATGATGAATTGTCAAGGCCCAGGGTAGACAAGTCTGAGGGTTAAAAACTCTAGGGGATCAAGTCATTGAGGAATCCCCAAGCTTTTGTGAGTTTTACCTTCAGGAGCCCTGCCAGTTCTTCACAGTGAATATCAGAGAGAAGTCCCCTCATACTTCTAGGAGGGAGAAGGAAAAAGCCATTTTGAAATGTGCCTGTGCATTCCATTCCTAATCAGGCATTCCTTCATGAGAGACTATTTTACCAGAGCCTAACTTACCTAAGGGAAGGGAAATACCTAACTCTAGCCCCCCCTAGCCATCCTGTCCCATCTAAGCAGGGCAAAAAACTGAGAAGCACTGATGGGAGCCCAAGGGTACAAGCTTATCAAGTGACTGAGGCCTAGTCATAGGACTACGAACCTTACCTCTCCATCACTAAAGGCCTATTTACTGTGGTTCCGTTTACCCAATACCTCATATCCACCTTTTTTTCTTAAAATATTTTATTTATTTGTTTGTTTAATTTTATTTGAGAGAGAAAGAAAGAAAGAACACAAGCGGGAAGGGCAGAGGGAGAGGGAGAGGGAGAGGGAGAGAGAGAATCCCAAGCAGACTCCCTGTCAAGCATGGAGCCCGACGGAGAGCTCAATCTCAGGACCCCAAGATCATGACCGGAGCTGAAATCAAGAGTCAGACACCTAAATGAGCCACCCAGGTGCCCCTCATACCCATCTATTGACAAAAAATTACAAGGCATACTGAAGGGCAAAGAACAGTTTGAAGAGAGTGAACAAGCATCTGAATTAGACTTTGATAAGACAAAGACGTGAGGATTATCAGACCAGGAATTTTAAAAAACTGTGATTAACATGGTAAGTGCTTTAATGGAAGAAGTATACACCATGCAGAGAGATGGGAATTCTAAGAAAGAATAAAAGAGAAATGCCAGAGTCCTTGGTGTGTCAGCGACAATGATGCACAGGAAGGCGGGAGAGAGACGTCTGAGAAGCCACAGCTAACTATAGCCTATGGAGTAACAGGGGAAAGTTCCAGTCACAGCACTGAGAAGTGACCAGCTGAATGAGAAGCTGCAGACCTCTAAACAGAGCCTATACAGACCTCCAAGTACGGGTATGGGAGTCAGATGACAAAGAAAGAAAGCATTGGCCATATTCATCCAACTTGGATCAAGTACACCCAAACTAAAGAGACTTCCAATTCTTGCTCCACAAACCTTTCAATGGCAGCAGCTTTAAATGAACATGAAGACAGGGAACCAGAGGACATGCTTCCTGAAGCTGTGAAAATATTAGAAGGCATACACCAACATCAGAAGGACCTAACTCCTTCAACAGAGGAAAGCAGGGTTTTCTGACAACCAGCTACAGTACTGAAATATAAAATCTCTTCTTGGAAAGGTCCATGACCAAGACAATTAAAATCAGGGTGTGAGGTGGATACAAAGTGAAAAAGGAGCAGTTTCCTGTGTATAAGACTATCTTCGGAGCCGCTTTTCTTTGTAAAGGTTGAGTGCTACACAAATACATGAATTTGAAATTAGAGATAATGTATGTTTTACGTACAGATTTCAAGACATTTGCTAATTTTATAGTTTTACACGATTCGTTTACAAAGGTTACATATAATGAAGAAATCAGAAATGGTACCTTTTTAAGAACTGCTTTTTTTGTTAGACATAAATAAGAGCTCAATGAGTGGGAAGCAAAAAGTTGCTGTTTAAACTGCAAGTAAGGAGGCCTGGGTGACTCAGGCGGTTAAGCATCTGCCTTTACCTCAGGTCATGATCCCAGAGTCCCGGGATCGAGTCCCACATCGGGCTCCCTGCTCAGCGGGGAGTCTGCTTTTCCCTCTGCCTGCCGCTCTCCCTTCTTGTGCTCATGCTCTCTCTCTGACAAAATCTTTTTAAAAAAATAAACTGCAAGCAATTACTCCCTAACTTAACTCCCTCATTATCTAAACTGTCTGGCTCCCAGGAACTGCCTTATACAGAAAGAGGATTGTACTGAAAGGAAAACGTTACTGGGCTATTTAGATAATATTAAAAGTAAATTTAGATAATATTAAAACACAGCTCTTTTTTCCCTATGAGCATTTGTTTTGCTTCAAGTCATCATAAACTAGGTATTGCCTTGTTCTCAGTGGCTACAGATGCTTCTTTAAAAATATTTTTAAAAAATTTATGTAGACTATTAGTATTTCAAAGAGCCCACTTCATCTTGATGGGTCATGTCTACCTTCATTAGTCTCCAAAGAATAACCATTTGCTGCCAAATTAAATCAGTATTTTGAATGTGCTTTTCTCAGTTTTTATTATTAGCTGGTAATGCTACTTACTTGAGGCAAATCATAAGGAAATTGTTTCTCTTAAAATACAAACTACCACCCAAACTTTTAGTGTACATATTGCTTAACATTTGGCTGATTTTAACTTTTAAAAGATATAAATATGAAAAAAATTACATTGTATGAAAATAGAAAATAAGAAAATGCACTTTTTATAACTTTGTCAAAGCACTTAAGTTACTAACTTGCAAAATCCAATTTGAATTGAATTTAATACAGGATTTCTTATTAATACTATACTATGTGTATAGATCAAAATGTATACACTAGGGGCGCCTCGGTGGCTCAGTCGTTAAGTGTCTGCCTTCGGCTCAGGTCATGATCCCAGGGTCCTGGGATCGAGCCCCGCATCAGGTTCCCTGCTTAGCGGGAAGCCTGCTTCTCCCTCTCCCACTCCCCCTGCTTGTGTTCCCTCTTTCGCTGTGTCTCTCTCTGTCAAATAAATAAAAAAAAATTTTTTAAAAATGTATACACTAAACAATGGCCTCTCAAAACACTTTAGATACTAAAAACAGAAGATAAGTAACATCTATAAACACTTTATGGAATCTCTGCCCATATACACTTTGTTAGATCTGTGTGTTATAGGGTAGTTTGGGTTTTTCTGGGGGGGGTTTGGTGGGTTCTTTTAAAATTTTGTATTGTATAGGAACTCCTTTTGAATTTGGCGGTTAAACATATAGTGAAAGACAAAACATACTATATAGTGATTTCCCTGAAAACCCCTTTCATGGTAATTTTGGAGGCAGCTTTTAGACTATTTTGTTGGTGGTTGCTATTTACTCTTTTACTAGGCAATGACACCAGAGAAGCAGCCTCTGTATTTTCTTACACTATGTACACTTGCATTTAGAATGAGCCCCAAGGGAAATAAGGGAAATGTACATAGAACTATTAGTTCCTACTTACATGGTTTAATTATATCAAGATATATGAATTGAACTCTAAGTTTAATGTAGACAAACTTTCCATTTTAGTCCATTTTACTGTTTATGTTAAAATAACGTCGCTCTCCTACATATTCTTTTCTTGACCTAGATGCACTGTTAATGGGATTATAAACTGGTACAGCCACTATAGAAAACAGTATGGAGGTTCCTCAAAAATTTAAAACATATGATCCAGCAACCCCTCTCCTAGGTATATATCCAAAAGAAATGAAAACAGGAAAAAAAGAGAAATGCAAGCAGGATCTTGAAAAGATAGCTGTACCCCCAAATTCACTGCACCATTATTCAAACAGCTGAGGTATGAAAACAACCTAAGTATCCATCAACAGATGAATGGATAAAGAAAATACCCATTCCGTTATCCAAGAAACTATGTGATATAATACACAGTTGACCCATGAACAACATGGGTTTGAACTGTGGGTCCAATTATACATGATTTTTTTCCCCAATAAATATATGTACAGGGGCACCTGGGTGGCCCAGTCAATTAAGTGTCTGACTCTTGGTTTAGGCTGATGTCATGATCTCAAGGTTGTGAGATTGAGCCCCATGTTAGGCTCTGCACTCAGTGCAGAGTCTGATTGAGAGATTCTCTCTCTCCCTCTTCTTCTGCCCCCTCCTCTGGTGCATGCTCTCTCTCTCTCACTCTCTCTCAGATAAATAATTAAATTAATAAAAATAAAATCTTAAAAAATATATATGTACAATACTGTAAATGTATTTTGTCTTCCTTATGATTTTCTTAATAACATTTTCTTTTTTGAGCTTACTTTATTTTTATATAGTATAAAATACATATAACATACAAAATATGAATTAAGCAACTGTTTATGTTATTGGTAAGACTTCCAGCCAACACTAGACTATTAGTAGTTAAGTTTTTAGGGAGTCAAAAGTTATATACAGATTTTCAACTATATGGGCAGTCAGTGCCCTAACCCCCATATTGTTCAAGGGTCAACTGTGTGTATATACATACACACACACACACACACACACACAATACTGGAACATTATTTGACCATAAAAAAGAAGGAAATCCTGATATTTGCAACAACATGGATGAATCTGGAAGACATTATGCTAAGTGAAACTAGCCAGACACAGAAAGACAAATAATGTATGATCTCACTTATATATTTTATCTAAAAAGCTCATGGAACCAGAGAGTAAAAGAATGATTTCCAGGGACTGTGGGTTGGGAAAAATTGGGAGATGTTAGTCAACGGGTATAAGCTTTCAGTTATAAGATGAATAAATTCTGTGGATCTGATGTACAACATGGTAATTACAGTTAATAATAATTCGTTGTATACTTGAAATTTGCTAAGAAATTGATCTTAAATGTTGTCACCACACAAACACACACACAAATAGTATCTAAAGTAATGGATGTGTTAACTTGATTGTGATCACCATTTCACAGTATATATGTTGTGTATTAAATTATCTTGTATCACTGCATACCTTTAAAAAAATCACACTGCAAAACCTAAATATATACATTTTTTATGAGCCATACCTCAATAAAGCTGGGAAAAAAGAAGGAAAATAAAGTTACATGTTCATTTCAATTGATGCAGAAAGAGTAGTTGACAATATCAATACTCTTTCATAATAATAACAAAACATTTAAAAATGGAAAGAGAAAGCACTTTCTTAATTGGATAAAGGTCACCTATGAAAAACCCACAACTAAAATAATAATCAAAGGTAAAAGACAGAAAGCTTTCTTCAGAAGACCAGGAACAAAATAAACATGTTCACTTTCCCACTTCTATTCAACACTGTACATATGTAAAGTTATATCCATAGAAATTAAGCAAGATAAAGAGATAAGGCAAATTAGGTAGGAAGAACTAAAACTATTCTTACTCACAGATGATATAATCATGTATAGAAAATCTTAAAGACTCTGCCAAAAAGAATGTTAAAGCTAATAAAAGAATTCAGCAAAGTTGCAGGATACAAGGTCAACGTACAATAATCAGTAGTACATCTACTAGTAATGAACAACTAAAAAGGATTTTAAGATAATTCCATTTACAACAGCATCAACAGAATGAAAGGCTTATGAATAAATTTAAACAAGAGCTGCAAGACTTGTATGCTATTACAAAATATCACTGAAAGAAATTAAAGAAGACTTAAATAAGTGGGAAAACTTCCTGTGTTCAGAAATTAGAAGTCTATATTATTAAGATGGCAATAGTACCCAAAGCAATCTATAGATTCAAGACAACACTTATTAACATCTCAACAGCCCTCTGAGAAATGAAAAAGCTGAACCATAAATTTTTTTAAGATTTATTTATTATTTATTTATTATTTATTTTAGAAAGAGTGGAAAGAGAAAGCATGAGCAGGGAGAGGGGTAGGGGGAGAGGGAGAGAAAAATCGCAAGCAGACTCCACGCTGAGCATGCAGCCAGACAGGGGATTCAATCTTATGACCCTGAAATCATGACCTCAGCCCAAATCACAAGTCAGATGCTTAACCAACGGAGCCACCCAGGTGCCCCTGAACTATAATTATATATGCAACTTCAAAGGATACATATACCTCTATGTTTATGGCAGAATTATTCACAATAGCCAGATTATGGAAAGAGCCCAAGTGTCCACCAATTGATGAATGGAAAAAGAAGATGTGGTATATATATATATATATACAATGGAATATTACTCAGTCATAGAAAATAATGAAATCTTGCCATTTGCAATGATGTGGATGGAGATAGAGAGTATTATGCTAAGCAAAATAAGTCAGAGAAAGACAAATACCACATGATTTCACTCATATGTGGAATTTAAGAAACAGAACAACAAGTATAGAGAAAAAGAGAGAGAGAGGCAAACCAAGAAACTTTTAACTATAAAGAACAAACTGATGCTTATCAGAGGGGAGGTAGGTGGGAGGGATGGGTTAAACAGGTGATGGGGATTAAGGAGGGCACTTGCTTTGATGAGCACCAGCTGTTGTATCCAAGTGTTGAATTAGTATATTGTACACCTGAAACTATTACACTGTATGTTAACTAACTAGAATTTAAAGAAAAACTTTTTTAAATAAAATAAAAAGTTAAAATCCAATTGTTAAAAAATTTATATGGAACTTCAAGAGACCCAGACTAGCCAAAAGAATCTTAATAAAAGAAGAACTAAGCTGAAAGACACACTTTCTGATTTCAGTACTACCAAGCTACAGTAATCAAACTGGTACTGGTGAAAGACAGACATATAGATCAAAGTAACACAACTGTGAGTAATGGCTACTAGCTTTTGGTAAGGACTCCAAGATAATTACATTAGATTAAAAAAGACTAATTTCGGGGCACCTGGGTGGCTCAGTCATTAAGCCATGATAACATACCACTTCTGCCTTCTGCCTTCTGCCTTCAGCTCAGGTCATGATCCCAGGATCCTGGGATCGAGCGCCGCATCAGGCTCCCTGCTCTGTGGGAAGCCTGCTTCTCCCTCTCCCACTCCCCCTGCTTGTATTCCCTCTCTCGCTGTGTATCTCTCTGTCAAATAAATAAATAAAATCTTAAAAAAACAAAACAAAACAAAACAAAAAAGACTAATTTCTACAAGTGATGTTGAGATAACTGGATATGCACATGCAAACGAATGAAGTTGGACTCTTCCCATACAATACATACAAGTACTAACTTTTTAAAATGGATCAAAAACCTAAATAGCTACAAATACCTTTTTTAAAAAACTCTTAGAAAAAACATGGAGGCAAATATTCATGACTTTGGATTTGGCAAATATATGACACCAAAACACAAGCAATAAAATAATAAATTGGATGTGATAAAAATTTAAAACTTTTATGCATAAAAGGGAACTATCAAGAGAGTTAAAAACATAACCTACAGAATAGAAGAAAATATCATATAATAAAGGGCTTGTATCTAGAATATATAAAGAACTCTTACTACTTAACAACACAAGACAAGCAACCCAATTTAAAAATAGGCAAAGGACTTGCATAGATATTTCTTTAAGAAGTTGTACAAATGTCCAACAAGCACATGGAAAGATGCTTAATATCATTAGTCATTAGAGAAATACAAACCAAAGCTATGATAACATACCACTTCATACCCACCAGGATGAGAATATTAAAAAAAAAGAGAAAGAGAAAATACAACCTCAAATGAAGAGAAACATGAATTATTTAAAAAAAAAAACAGAACATATAATAAAATTTAAAAAATAAGGGGCGCCTGGGTGGCTCAGTCGTTAAGCGTCTGCCTTCGGCTCAGGTCATGATCCCAGCGTCCTGGGATCAAGCCCCGCATCGGGCTCCCTGCTCGGCGGGAGGCCTGCTTCTCCCTCTCCCACTCCCCCTGCTTGTGTTCCCTCTCTTGCTCTCTCTCTGTCAAATAAATAAAATCTTTAAAAAAATTTTTTTAAATAAATAAATAAATATCTAAACCATTAAAAAAAAAAAAAATATTCCCTTAAAAAAAAACAGACACATGTTATATAGCAAAGGTGAGGGGGGTTTCATATGTAATTAGGATCCCTAATCAGTTGACTATTTCCAATATACAGAACTGAACTACTGATACAGGTAACAGCGTGGGTGAAGAACAAATGTCTTAGGCTAAGTGGAAGAAGCCAATGTCAAAACTGTATAATTCCATTTGCATGGATTCGGTTAAAGGCAAAACTGCCAAGAGGAACAGATCAATGATTGCTAGATGTTAGGGACTCAAGGGAAAGGGCAACATAAGGGAATTTTTTTGTTAGGAAAAACAGTTCTGTTTTCTGATTGCTGTGGAGGTTAAATTAATATATACATGTGTTGAGACTCACAGGATTGTACACCCCCAAAAAAGGTAATTTTATTGAATGTAAAGTTTAATAATATTTTTAAAGGCCCAGAAAAAAAGATAATAAAGGAATATGAAGAACAACTTTATGTTCAGAATTTTGGCCACTAAAATATAATAGAAAAATTCTATACAAGATATAAGATACTAAAGCTTATTCAAGGAAAATGGATAATCTGAATATTTCTACATCAACTGAAGAATTAAATTTGTAATCAAAACCCTACTCTGGGCCACTTATGGTAATTTACCCTTATGCCACATAATCCAATAACATAAAACTACAAATGTATAATTCATTTCAGGTTTATTTCAATTGAAAAATACTATAAAGCTCCTAAATGCTCATAGATAGGTTGAATGAACTTTGCCACACCCATACAATGTATCTGTAAAAACTAATGAAGATGTATCTGTAAGCTCATAGGGAATTATTTCTTTTTTTTTAAAAGATTTTATTTATTTATCTGACAGAGAGAGATAGCGAGAGCAGGAACACAAGCAGCAGGAGTGAGAAAGGGAGACGCAGGCTTCCCACCGAGGAGGGAGTCCGATGTGGGACTCGATCCCAGGACCCCGGGATCATGACCCGAGCCAAAGGCAGACGCCTAACGACTGAGCCACCCAGGCGCCCCATAGGGAATTATTTCTAAAATATAATGTTAAAATATGGATATTAGCTGGGCGTCTCAACCTTGACACTACTGACATTTGAACCTGGATACTTCTGTTTCAGGGAATGTCCTGTATTTTGTAAGATATTTAGCAGCATCTCTGGCTTCTACACACTAGATATCAGTAGTGGTCTTCCACTAGACATGATAATCAAAAACCAAAAATATCTCTAGGCATTGCCAATATTATTCCCTACGTGGCAAAACTGCCCCCCAAGATGAGCCCACCAATATAAAGACATGTAAATAGATACATACATACATATTTGCATATATATATTCATGTACATAGGTATACATATACACTGTGTGTATATATATATACTATATATAGTACAGAGGTATCACTTTTATGATAAAAAAATACTACAATCCAGAAAAAATATTTAAGAAACACTACAATCATCTCTCACCCACTGTTCCACCCACTCCACTGGCAACCCCAGATCATATGCCTTTTCTTCCTCAGAATCAAATCATCAAAGTCAATTTTTCAAAGGAAAGACTCACGCTTCATTTCCATCTTGCTTATAAAATCAACCCCCAAAGCTACTGCAACATTCGAAAAGACACAGAAAGCCAGCTTCTCGGTAAGGGCCATCTGTGTATACATGGTGCTCACGAATACGTATGGAAAGAAGGTGACAAAATAGAGGAAACCTCCAACAGAAACAGCCAAAGTAGCTGAAAAGTAAGAAGGAAAATACAGAGTTAGTTCAAAACTACAAAAGCTTGATGTAGAAATATCCTCATCTTATTACAAAAGAGCTCTAAAATGTAGACCCTACAAAAAAGAAGGGAAACTGTCTTGGTCACCACCATATCATGAGCATCTAGAACAGTGCTGAACATAGACAGGTGCTCAATAAATATTTTTGCTTAAATGAATGAATAAATGGTACAGAGAATAAACTTTTCTGGAATTGATCCTCCTTCTAATGCTATGATTGTGGATATTTACTCATCTAAAAAAGGATTTGCCCTTATGTTTATAAAAACTTCCTTTTTCATTTTTATTCATGACTACTCAGCCTAACAATCTCTAGATTACACCACCATTAATCACATCATATGAATATACCTACACGGTTACATTTATTTTGGAATTTTGGAAGATGAAAACTGAAAAAGTTGACAACAATATGTTTCCAGTCTTATTTATGATACTTTGAACACTTATTTATAAATAATACTTTATAAAACAGTACATTAAAAAGACAGAGAAAAAAGTCAGTGTAACAGAGAAGCCTCTGGATTAGGATGCTATGTATCATGAGGATTGCATTATTTCAGACCAACTCTTTTAATGACAGAAAAATCTAGACAAATTATTTTTTAAGTTTATTTATTTATTTGTATGTTAAAGTATTACTTTTTAAGTATGTTAAGTGAGAGAGCTACCAGGCAAGGACAATTTATAGAGTCAAAATCAAGGTAAGAAGAGAACTCAAGAGAGGTTAAGTCTAAAATTTGGTGCTAATTTTCACCTTGAAGCATTTGTAAAACCTAAGCTATGGCTTAGAATCTGAGGGACTGAGCAGAGCTTTTGACAGTGTCAAAGGCGTACAGAAATTAAGACATGCTGAAGAAAAGATGCCATAATTAATACCTCGAACTTTTACTCAGGGCCCTGAAAGGCTACAGGTCTAATGTACAGGTGTACCAGAAACAGATCATTTTCAATCATCTCAAATCCTTATTGGATTATTATCAAACCCCTCATCTAGGAGTGCTAGAGCCCCACACCTAAATGACTGATGGATTTAAAAGTAAATCCTCTACGCAGGAAAAAATGTTATTCAGACTCAAATAATTTCTATAATTTTTATATGCAATGTTTTACATTAAATAAATTACTAGGAATACCAGGTGTTATAGGTTGAATTGTATCCACCACCCCAATATTCACATGTTGAAGCCCTAACCTCCAGTACCTCAGAATGTGCTGTATTTAGAGACAGGGCCTTTTTTTTTTTTAAAGGATGATTAGGTTAATATGAGGTCAGGTCATCCTCTGGGATAGTGCTGTGTGAGTGTTAAAAACATTCCCCAAGATTCCATTCCTCTTTATGGCTGAGTAATATTCCTCTGTGTGTGTGTGTGTGTGTGTGTGTGTGTGTGTGTGTGTGTGTGTGTGTACCACATCTTCTTTATCCATTCATCAGTAAATGGACATTTGGGCTGTTTCCATAACCTGGCTATTGTAGAATAATGCTGCTATAAACATCAGGGTACATATATCCCTTTGAATTAATATTTTTGTATTCTTTGGGTAAATACCTAGTAGTGCAATTACTGGGACATAGGGTAGTTCTTTTTTAACTTTCTGAGGAACTTCCAAGCTACAGAGTATTATGCTAAATGAAGTATGTCAGTCAGAGGAAGTCAAATACTGTATGATTTCACTCATTTGTGGACTTAAGAAACAAAACAAATGAGGGACGCCTGGGTGGCTCAGTGGTTGAGCATCCAACTCTACCTGCCCAGGGTGGAATCTACTTAAACAAACACACAAACAAACAAAACAAATGAGCTAAGGGGAAAAAGAGAGAGAGAGAGGCAAACCAAGAAACAGACTGTTAACTAGAGAGAGCAAACTGATGGTTACCATAAGGGAGGTTGGGGCGGGGAGGAGTTAAATAGGTGATGGGGATTAGGGAGTACACTTGTTGTGATGAGCACTGTGTGTTGTATGGAAATGTTGATCACTATATTGTACACCCGAAACTAACAGAACACTGTATACTAAATATACTGGAATTTTAAATTAAATTAAATTATATTAAATTACAGAAAAAAAGGCCAGGATGTGGTGAAACAGGAACCCTTATCCACTGCTGGTGGGGATAAATATAAAATTTATAATCACACTGGAAAAAATTGGGGAAGTTCTTTAAAAGTTAAATATAGATTTATCTTCATAATCCAACAATCCCATTTCCAGGAGAAGCAAAAACATATGTCCACATAAAGACTTGTATGTAAATAGCCATAGCAGTGTTATTCATAGTGGCCAAAAATACTGTGAACAATATAAATGTCCTTTAACCCTGGGATGGATAAACAAAATGTTGTATATCCATATAAGGAAATATTATTCAGCAATTAACAGAAAGGAAATACTGATACATGCTAAAACATGAATGGATTTCAAAATCATTATGTTAAGTAAAAGAAACTAGACTGGATATTTTAGAAGAAGAAAAGACTTCATACTTTATCCATATACACCAAATGTCTAGATAAGCCAAATTTATGTAGAGAGAAAGCAGATAAGTTGTTGCCTTGTACCAGAGAGATAAGAATGAGGACTGACTGAAAATTAGCTCAAAGGAAATTTTAGGAGTGATGGAAAATTTCTAAAATGATATTTGGTGATGGCTGCATAACTTGAAAAATTTACTAGTGGGTGAATTTTATGGTATATATATTATACTTTTATAAAGCTGTAAAAATATGTGGTCAAAAGATGTAAACAGGCATTTTATAAAGAAAAACACACATGGTTCTTATTAACCTAAAAATATGATCAGGGGGCGGAGCAAGATGGCGGAGGAGTAGGAGACCTGGATTTCATCTGGTCTCAGGAATTCAGCTGAATAGGGATCAAACCATTCTGAACACCTACGAACTCAACAGGAGATCGAAGATAAGAACAGTAACACTCTGAACAGAAAAGCGACCACTTTCTGGAAGTTAGGACGTGTGGAGAAGTGAATCCGAGGCGATATTCGGGAGGATAGACGGCGGGGGAGGGGACCTCCGTCGGCCACTTCTGGCCAAGTGATAGAGCTGCGGAGCACAAAATCGGAACTTTTAGAATTCTGCTCCGCTGAGGGACGTCTCTCCAGTGGCTAAGCGGGAGGTGGAAACCTTGCGGGACAGTGTGGTCTCAGGACCCTCGGAGTCACAGAGGGACCGGGGGTGCCTGAGTGCGGCA